TCCTCGTTTTTGGCTACCCCTCAGCGACCAGGACGCCAAGTACCGCTGATGTTCGAGGACTTGCGGCTCAATTGCGCATAGGTGCATACTCCATCTTTGTACAGGTTTTCCAGCCATTTACTGACTTGCTGTCGTTAACTACGCGAACCGATAAGACCTGCCGGTTGCTTTCTTTTTCGCGAAGTGCATCGTTCACCCCCACAATTCGGCATGTTAAGCTGAGAACCGTTGACCGGTGTTAGGGAGGCTTAGCTTTTTCACAGCAATGCATTCCCCAGAGTGCGTGGTCGTGGTCAGAACTTCCGCGTACCCATATCGGGGTCCTGTGGTTGCTCATCCATACGTACATATCCTCAGGTTGTAGCGTTCACATTATCTTTTCTGGGACGGTTCCCTCGATTATGAGACTGGAATTGTCCATCCAGAGTGGGGAGTTTAGGTGATAGTTCCTAGTCATGCTCCCAGACCAGTCCTCTCTATAACAGTTGCATCTATTCTCGCAAATCTATCTTGTTTCGTTCAAATTGACTGACAATAGAACGCAAACTCCTTTCCGGGATTGATGTTCTCCAGGCAAATGACTTTTTAAAGACGATAAGTTCCACATGTCGCTCGCGGATCAGAGGGGAGGGGTCCGCTTCCAGAAGAATAGCATCCCTCGGGGTCACTCCGGCCAAGGCTGTAATCGCACTGCTAACTTACCGTTGGCGTGCTTCCAACTTATCCACGGCTGCGGGATGGCGGTCATGTGGGTGTGCGGGGGGGCGTTTTTCTGAATTCGCCGCATCGTTAGGCTCCTTATTGTTCTCTTTTCTGATACATGTTGTGTGGAAGGTCGTCCCGCAGCTTGGAAGCGCATCAACTTCTAACATCAGTGACCTGACTTCTTTCCATCGTACTAAATTTCTTCCCGGCTGATTGACAAGCGTGTGACCCTTCGGTCATCATCTTATAAATTTCAGTAAGCCATCCCAATTAATGGAGAGCCAGTCTTCGTTCTCCTAGGCAAACGTATTCCTCACCTTCGTAACTTTAGTCCCTCATATGGTCTGATTAGAGTGCCCAATTAGCGACAGTCACGTGATTGCTTTGCATTCCGGTTAGTTTTTGGGCCGACAGTTTTCATTCGTACCTTCCCACTGGTGTCGGCCTGGCCACCCTCCCCCCCCTTTGTTGCGTTCTATGACCGTCACGATCTTTGCAACTTAACCTGCTGACGTTCTGTTCTGCCCTCTCACCGCAGCTCCTACCCTGCCCGGTCCCGCCGTTGTATGTTCGCCTGCCACCAGACTACGTCGTTTCTCACACCGTCAGCTGGTATCTGGATAAGGAGGACTTTGCGATTGCGGAGAATAGGCCGCGGACTCTCATGTCCTTCTACTCCGTGGACGAAATTGCCTCCTTCCTGAAGCTGACCTACTCAGAGTCCGAGCGAAGCCTTAAAATGCTTCATCAGGCGGCCTGCAGCCGCATGGATCTGCTCACAGTGGCCAAGGCCTGGGTAAGCACTACTCTTCCCCTCCCTCTACACCTGGTTGTATTCTTTCTACCCTGCGACTAGATACAGGATGCTCTACGACATTCTGCGCGGCATGTTTTCTCCCTCCGGGCCAGAGTTTTTGATCATGGAGTCGCCGCTGCACTTAGGTTTGCAGACGGTCTATTTATGTCCTCCTTCATGTTCTTTCTGATATTATTCTTCCCAAACCTCGCTTTTTCTGTCCTTGAAACTAGTCATGTTGCTGTCACGTGCTAAGCCTCATAAACTGCATAAACGGAATCTCGCATCCTCTGTGGTTGGCTTACATCGCAATAATTTAGGTGAATGGTACCGTGCTTATCATCTCTTTTCTTGTTAACGGTACTATTATAGGGAAATGATGATGATTGTGCCTGTTGTGGTGGAACCGTGCTTCTCTTGTTTGGTGTGCAATCACGGGATAGTGATGGCTATGATGACGACAACGACGATTATAGTGGTGATACGGCCGCCGCCATCAACGAAGCCCTCATGGTAGTTCAAGCGGCGGCTTGCGCTTGAATTGAGTTATAGTGGACCGGACTTGCGACTAATTTACTTCACTGCCACCTCTTATACTAACTATTTTCCGGCAATAAGATAAAGTCATGGTGACCAGCGGCGGACGTAGGGACGGGAACTGAGAAAGCTAAATAGCCCGTCTTTCCCGTCCGTAAACCACCTGGTCCCTAACTCTGCATGTACTAAATTTCGTTCGGGGGAAGTTGTCTGATCTCACTTAACGACGAGTGTCAGATTGACTACATTAAGAGGGAGTCATTAACGCCTAGCCCTCAGTCCTGGGTAGAACCGAGTTATCCCGTCAGTTGGCAACCTTCCAGGCCATAACTGTTTTAACGTCGTGATATTTTGAAAATGTGTTTGTTAGTAGTTAACAGTTGAGCGCTGGATCCGAACTTGATCGGCCTTACTTCCGTTCCTCTCTCGTACACCAGTGGCCTGTTAAAGTTCAGGCAACATGAAATGGCATTGGCTGACGTGACGTGAACTCGCCCTCTATCGGGTGCCATATGCGGGATAATTACTCAGATGTTAACTTAACTGCTTAAGTCGCCCAGTTTTAGACAGATTGACTGCGGGATTTGGCCTCTGTGTGTAGAATATATCCAAAAACTGGAGGTGTTGAGTAATCCATATCCGAAAGAAACCCAAGAATGGAACTTCGTCACGGATCAAAAAGGCATCCAGATTCTGATGCACTGGGAGGCTGAAATCATACATGCGTCAACTTTCTGAATTCCCTTTCGGAATTTACGCTGAGGTCGTGAACGGGTGCAATAACTTCAGACCTAAGGAGGACGCATGAACTTAAGCTCTTCAGACTTGGGGGAACGTCCGCATGGCCGGCGATTGCAGCTGATCACATTTTTCCGCGATCGTAGTAGTTGAGCTGCCTAGAAAAACTCCACTTCCAACCAAGTCAAATATATAAGTAGTAAGCTGATTTAAAGGCAGCGGTAAAATTAAAACGGAGGGCCGTGTACTTCCCGGCTGAAGTCCCTCTTAACCATCAAATAACGATTGGTGGCCCATACTAAAGGCCCCTCACTGGAATTTTCGACGAGGTTCTATAACACCTGACAAACCACCAGGCTGTCGTCGAACTGATAAATTATCAAACTGAATAACCGACTAGACTCAAGGTGAACTCTCAGGTCTGGGGCTAGGGTATGGCTATCTGACGGTGACAGGCAAGTTGGAGACGACCGTTCTAGTCTGCCTTTTCCTGATGGGCAATACTGCCCGAATGGGTCCATCGTCACCTCTATTCACTTTCTCTCGCCTGAGCTAGGCGCACTTGTACGAGATCCAGTTTGAGCCCTGACTTTTCGCGAGCCTGTTTTGTACTCCTGAACGTTTTTAGGTCCGTGCTATTTACACCTATCTTCTATTTATTGTCAATTTACGAAATCCCATCCAAGAGAGTTACTTTGCTTCTCTTTCTTAGATACGGGCAATCTTCACGGCTGCTGCGCATTCCATAAACGCAGATGTCTTCCTGGAAAGTTAGGGGTCGCCTGTTCCTCGCCGGAAAGCCTTTCTCTGTTAACTTTGTATCTTAGGCTTATTTTTCTCTAATACACACTAACAATACCTCTTTGATTCAATCTTCTAAATCGTCACCTATCGAAGGGTAATACTACTGCTTCTTCCACCGCGGCTTTCTCACAGCGCCCTTGGATCGCTTTGGCAGATCGAGTGACACAGCTGAAATCGGGGCGGTGGTTGCTTCGGTTATACATGCCTTCAGACCACCTGGCCGATACATACAACCGGAGGTACGAACGTGTTGACTGTGCGAGTCTGTTATGACCCGCCTGGTACGTGAAATCCTGTGGAGCGTNTGCCTGGAGATACGGGAGCGGTAACTGATACCGAAGATGGTATATCCGAAGGGGGCGCAGAAGTGGATTCGGGAACCGACTGATCTGCCGGAATGGCGAAGGTATCCAGTAGGATGTCGAGAGAGAGTGACGGCGCCGAATCGAGCCCAGTTGTGTTACTGCAATGTCGCCGTCGGATCTGGTTGTGGTGGCGAACCCAGATGTCATCACCAACGTCGACGTCAAACAACATACTGCCTCTGTGCGATACTACGGTTGCTTCAATCCAGTCTGGGAACCCCGCTCGATAATCACGAACGAAGACAGGTGTTCCGATGGAGAGCTTGCTGCGAGAAACTGGAGAAGTCTGCGCGGGCTGCGCACCGGTAGGGACGAGGGCATGAAACGTTGTACGCAGTTTTCGGCCCATCAACGCTTCGGCAGGAGAAACGCCACCAGGGGACGCCGGGTTCGGTGTCGTCCTGTAGGAAAACAGGAACGCCTGGACTATCTCGTCCGTGGTCCCCTCCCCACGAGCTTTCAAGAGGGCTCTCTTAAACGTGTCGACAAAACGCTCCGCCTGACCGTTAGACTGAGGATGGTAGGGCGGGGAGCGAAGATGCTGGATGTTGTGCTGGCGGCAGAAATCTTCAAACGTCGACGAGATAAACTGAGAACCATTATCTGAAACCAGGACTTCTGGTAAGCCATGCTGGCTAAAGATGCGTCGTAGGAAGGCGATAGTGGCAGATGCGGTTGCTGGATTCAGCGGAGCAATCTCGGGCCATTTCGAGTAGGCGTCAACCAAGATTAGGTAGGAGACTCCGTTAAGTGGGCCAGCGAAGTCGATATGCACGCGTGACCAAGGCCTCTCCGGTGGTTGCCAGGGAATTGGAGGTTGACGAGGCGGCATCTTGGCAGCTTGCTGACATCGAGAACAGCGTCGAACCAGGTCGTCGATGTCGCCGTCAATACCCGGCCAGTAGGCAAAACTGCGAGCAATAGACTTCATTCGGCTGGCACCAGGATGAGCCGCATGGAACTGGCGTAGTACATTGGGCAGGCATCCGTTGGATGGCCCGAATGTTTTCAGGATCTGGATGGCGACCAGTGACGTCAAAAACGAATCCAAGGTACTAGATGGAGTCGAGGAAGAATTGACACTTGTCGGCTGGTAGGCGAAAGCCATATTCCTGCACGCGTTCGAGTACTGCGCACACTCGGTCTTGCAGCTCGGCAGGGGAGCGACCCACGATGATGATGTCGTCCAGGTACCCAGCTGTGCCAGGGATGCCGGAGAGCATTGCGTTCATCGTTTGTTGAAATAGGGCCGGGGCGGTCTTGACACCAAAAGGCAGCCTGGTGTATTGGAACAGACCGCGGTGGGTATTGATGGTCAACAATTCGCGCGACTCTGGGGCGACCTCGATCTGCAGATACGCATCAGCAAGATCCAACTTGGCAAAGCAAGTGTCCCCATTCAGCAGGATGAAAAGATCAGCCGGAACCGGTAATGGATAGCAGTTCGGCGTCAGCGCGGCATTGAGACCGGTGGAGAAGTCAGCACAAATGCGGACCGAACCATTGGGCTTCTTAACCACAACGATTGGAGCGGCCCAGGCGGAGTAGGATACAGGAATCAGAACTCCCAATTCCTCTAGACGCTTCAGTTCAGCCTCGACAAGTGGTAGGGCTGCATATGGGACTGGTCGCTTTGGACGGAAGACTGGTTGACTTCCAGGAGACAGATGTAGCACGGCTTGAGTGTATGTGCAACGACCCAGGCCGTCTTGGAACACTGGAGCAAAGCGTTGGAGAATGTCCTTGGTTTGGTCTGAAAGCACAGCGGGAATCTGCACCTGACTGCAAACAACGCGGAGCGGCATATCGGCCAACCCAAGTTGTTCAATCCAGTCGAGATTAAGTAGGTTTAGATCAGACTTGGTGATGTAGCAGATCGCAGTGATGCTGGTACCGCGGAACGACACACAGCATTGCAGCTGCCCAATTAGCTGTACGAGACCACCGCACGCGCTTGTGGCGGACTGGGAAGTCTGCTGGATCGTGGGGCTGCCAAGGGACTGCCAGAGTCTCTCAGAGATGATGGTGATATCTGAGGCAGTGTCCAACTGTAGACGAACTGCATGGCCATTGAGCAAGACATCAACAAGTTTTCTACGACCAGACGCATTGAGCTGGAAAGCGGCCAAGAGACTCAGAGAATTACCAACGGACTGGGGTTCGGGCTTGCGTTTTGGCCGGAAACTGTGCCTGGAATAAGGAGTGGCGGGGGCTGGCTTGCCTCCAGAAGCTGGTACTGATTTGCAGAACCCATCACGGCGTCCCACCTGATTACAGCTTTGGCAGCGATGCTGGCGGAAAGTGCAATCCCGGTGGAAATGCCACGCGCCACAGTGCCGACAAGGAGATGGCGGAGATCTCGATTTGGACACTTGCTTGGGCCGTGTAACAGGATGCGATTTGGTCGATGTGACCGTATGGACTGAGAAAGATGAGGCCGGGTTCTGAATCATTGCAGAGTCGTGCTTGAGATTGATCAGCGTTTCGCACTCTGCTGCCAGCTCTTGGAGTGCGGTGGAGTTGTTCTGCTGCACTTTGGACAGGAGACGTGTCCGGATATTAGCATCCTTGGGGGACTGGAGGCCGCAGATAAATATAAGGCATTTAAACTGGTCTTCAGTAAGAGAACCGAGTTGAAAACGCCCACACTCACGATTGACAATGCCCGCATACGTGATAAAATCATCGGAATCGCGTTTGCACAGCTGCAGGCACTGAAATCGAGTGGTGAAAAGGGAAGATTGATCACCAAAAATCTGCGACAACGTCTCAACCGTGTCCTTGAAAGCGACCTCTCGGGGATTCTTGGGGAGGATGAAGTTTGCATAACGCTCGTGTTCAGCCGGACCCAGTTTGCGAAGTAGGAATCGAAACTTCCATGCATCGTCCTGGACAGCCAGATCCACAGAGAACAAGTCCTCGTATCGCTTGTACCAGGACTCAAAGGTGATATGGGCCTGCGGGTCATACAGGAATTCAGTGATGCTGCCGGCAATGTGATCAACAGATTGTGAACCACCAGCCGCGCTTGATTGGCCCATGGATGAATTGGAAAGCTTGACGGTCAGAGCCTCCATCAGCTTCAGCTGCTGCTGCAACATCTGCTTCAAGTCTGCATACTCGTCAGCCATTGTAGTTGAAAAACTGAGTCGCCAATTTGTTATGACCCGCCTGGTACCTGAAATCCTGTGGAGCGTATGCGCACTCGACCCTGGTCCCCAATACCAACGCGGCAGAGAAGGAGAACGCGACCGGCCACGAAACTGTGTATTAGGAAAATGCAAGTCAAAATGAACTGGAAGCAACGCGTATTTATAACGCCTTACGGTGCTTCGCCGGCGTTCGGCCCAATGGCCTTCGGGAAGAACATTCGAGACGAGTCGGTCGATAATTCGAATATGCTGATCGATCAGGCCCGCAAGGAAAAGCCAATGGAGAGGCGCCATGATTAAGATGACAGCGCAGTAGAGAAAACGCACGTGGCCTCCTTTGATTGGCTGGCTCTTGTTTTTGGGAGTGTAGGCACTCCCAACAGAGTCGTCCGAAACGTGGCCGACAGTGCCCTCGGTTCGAATTGTCAGCAGTGCCTCGGTTGTTTTCGCCGTCGTTTCGGTACAGGTGCACATGGGCATCTTTCCCTGTCAAGCGTAAATGATGCCAAAATAATTGAAGGGGTTTTCACGGCTCGAGTTAAGGGAGATACTCGTCCCCTAGCGCCTTGGGGCTTAAAAAAGCATGTGCAGTCACATAACAATCAGTAATAGGTCGGAATGGAGCGCCGACAGACAAGGCGGACAATGATAGTCATTTCTGGCCTATCAATCGTTAATCAGCCAGACCCAACCCCAAACTTGGATAACCTGGCGTTCGAACCCCGATTATTTGACCATTGGACGTTTTTATTGCCATGCCCCGACATTGGGTCAAATCGAATGCAAGCATGAAAATTCCCGAAACAGGTGCGTCTCAGTCTCCTCTCCAATCTCTCTATTGATGTTTGTTAAGTTCGCGTTCTGATTGTCCCTACCATCATGTATCATTCATTGTGCTCTACAAAGCCAACCAACTCGGTACCCGCTGATCCCCATGTGATTAAACTATACCTTATTTTCGCTTTGGCACTAATTTGATATCGAATATGAACCAATCGTCTCTTTCTGGCACCCGCAAGCACAAAGATTTAGTTAGCACGATTCCGTCGATGCCTAGAAAGGCTGTTTGCGGCTTTGTCGTTGGATCCTACTTTATTTATTTATTTTCTTTTATCCTTTAATTCTAACTAGCTGGACGACTATCGCCTGTGGGTTGTATCACTAGCGATCATTTAAAATAACAGAGGTGAAATTAAGAAGCCAACTTGGGTGTCCGCTTGCTGGCGCCCGGAACAATAGGACGAACGGGAGCCATAAAAAGACCGTCACGTCTACGAGTTCAGGAGTCACGAAGTCCACAAGCATGCATTTTATTTGCTTTCAGATAATTCTGTCGGACGCACAACACGTCAAGAAATCGAAGCCAACGAGTTGCAATATTAGGCACGCCGAAGACGACGATCTACTTAAGATTATTTGCTAAACAGAAAAAACAGTTGTCCGTGGCCGCCAGATTATACGTATATACACGATGATCGTCACAAAATCAAAAGGCGCCATTACCATATCCAGTAGAGATATCACTGTTTTCGTTTCACCTGGAATCCTCTAGAAGAACTGGTGTTGGGGCCTAAATCATTAGCCACTTAAGACGCCGGAAAATAAACTGCATCACGATGGTAAGACAAGTCGGAGGGGACTCTTTCGAACTTTGAGGAGGCTGCGGCACAGAACTAAGGTCTTTCCCTATCATTTGGCCGTACACCGATCAGTCGATTGTTCGGAACAAGAATTTTGCACTCTCAAGATCTTTGCAGAGATTTCATAAGTTCGAGTATTTTCGAGGCCCAAGTCGTATGAGACATGCAACCGGCGGCCCTCCAATGAACTTTGGGATTCTGCGTGTAGTCTGTCGTGTTAATTACACCGGCGGAACTTTACTCATCCAACGGGATGGTAATGTGCCTTCACTGGTTTCGATTTTCGTGAGCACATCGTGTTCGACTTTGGTGGTGTTGGGACTGCCTATACTCCCAAAAACAAGAGCCAGCCAATCACGGGAGGCCACGTGCGTTTTCATTACTGCGCTGTCATCTTAATTGTGGCGCCTCTCCATTGGCTTTTCCTCTTCGGCCCAATCGATCTGCATATTTGAATTATCGACCGGCTCGTCTGGACTGTTCTTCCCGAAGGGCATTGGGCCGAAAGCCGGCGAAGCACAGCAGGGTGTTATAAATATGCGCTACTTTCAGTTAATTTTGACTTGCGATTTCCGAATACACATTTTCGTGGCCGGTCGCGTTCTCCTTCTCTGCCGCGTTGGTATTGGGGACAAGGGTCGAGTGCGTATACGCTCCAGGGGATTTCACGTACCAGGCGGGTCATAACAGGTGAATACTTCTTCCAACCAATTAACTACGAGAAAGTACGACAACTGGCGTCGGAAACGACTCCTCGCCTCCTTACTCGTTTCCATTTGATTAAGAAAAGATTCCATTGACAAGTTCCACATAAACTATTTTAAATAAGGCTTTATATCGAAACACCTGTACTTGTTTCTTATTGGGATGCTCCAGTGACAGCAAAGTAGCAGCTATTAATTTCGGACGACGTTATACCAGGAAATCTGCGAAGGGTGTTCGTTAAGGCCGCACCACGTGTCGCTTTTCGTTAACTAGCTCGTTCAGGCACCTTATCCCGACAAAGATAGACTGGAGATTAACCCAGGTTGGTTGGAGGATTGGTCAAACCATTGACTTATGCGGTTCAACGTCAGCAAGTGAAGCAAAACACGCCCAGGAAACCCAGTCATACCAGTTAGCACGAGAGTCTACTTTATTGATGGTACGTCTTTAAAAGACTTAGAAGCCCAAAAGGACCTCAGTGCGCCTAGATATAACACCGTTCAACCGTCCGCTCGTTTTTCGAGTGGCAAAAAGTGTAATGTCCGTTCTATTCGCCATCAGACGGCCAATTATGTATTTTGTCAGGGCCGTGTTCTCAGAGATATTCTGAACGTCCGTGCGGACGCTCCCGAAATGTGGAATAAAAGCATGGATACCATGGGCGATTCAAGATCAAAATAATCATAAATGAAACCAGAGGAGAAGAACAAAACTGGTTAGGGGTCTGAGCTCCTTCCCCTATTCAACCAGCCAAACACAACGTAAAGGAGGTCTCTCAGAAGTATTCCGCATTGCGAAGGGATTGGGCCACAATCTGACCTTTGAGGACGTTTCTGAATTCGTTATTATGTCCAGCCTAAGAGATCGACAGTCAAAACAGCGCTCTCAGCAGACAAGGCCAGGAGTGCAAAATTTCGACTTCTCTGTCTGAATATTCAGACCATGAAACGTCCTCACTGCACGTGTGGTGATCTTACTGTCGATACAATGCGTTCCAAAAGGACCTTGACATATTTGTGCTCGAAATGAATAGGGGCGCGAAGTGATCCTGCTCAATTCCTGAGACTGACGCTCCATTTTTCACACTATTGTGGGCGCATTTTTATTCGGATGTTTTCTCTGCACACCGCACACAATTTTACGTTGCAAATTGTGTGCTCGAAGTCTTACGCCTACTTCTCTCAATACACTGAGCTAAATAATTTCGTACCGTCCTCTTACACGAACTTAGAGAACCCCCCTTTCTCTGCGTTAGGCCCCTGATTCTGCTTGCAAAGCCCAAGTGGTAACCTTTAATAAACTGTGGGATCATTCATCCGACTGTAAGAAACTGCAAAAGCAGTCGCTATTAAGTTAGGATAGCAGATCTTATGCCTACAGTAGAGGCTCGTTCAAGTTTCTCACCTACTTTGGTCAGTAGTAGACTTATTATCAAACTCGCCTCGTCATTTCGCTCTTACACCCCTCTTGCACTGACTCTTACTTTTCCACCTCGCAACATCTCGCCTGCGTTTAAAGCTGAAGCTTAACAGATTTTTCTCATCTCTAGCATGTTTTAATTGACCTTGTTCCTATACAGATATACTGTCCTGATAAGCATTCACCAAAAGCTAACGTATGTTCGACCACTGGTTTTTCGAATGTATGATTACCATGAAGAAGTTGACCAAAAACCTTGTGCTCGCCGCATCAGACCTTTCATTCTCCAAATGTTTCTGATTCGCATTCAAACTCGTCGTTAAGGGCAGCCACAGATAAGGGTGATGCACGAACAGGAGGCAAAGTATTTGCAGGATGAATTTGGAATGCAACCACAAACCAGTGATTATTCGAGGATTCCACGTTTGTCAAAGGTTGTCATACTTGGCGCGATGATTTAAGAGTTGCTCACATCCGAGTCATTAATGATAGAAAATTCATAAAAAGTGCTGACTATTAACATGCTTATAATGCAATCATTCAACATACTGATATTCTTACCGAAGGCTCTTTCCTCTCCTGCGAATGCAGACTGACTACAGAAGAATTAGAATACGTTTACATTGGCTGATAGAATTTTCCCTATTTATACACAGTTGCATTTTCTTATGTTTTTAAATGTGCAGTCTGCATCTGTTACATGCATAAGCCTCAGGCTCAGTCCCACTTTCCAAGTCTGATGCAACTAGGCTGTCAAAAGTTACGCATGTGCTAGTTTACAATTATTCGTAAGAAATTGTTCGTAAAAATGAAGGTTTAAACAGTGTTTTAAAACATTGGTGGAAAAAATGTCGTTAAATTTATGGATTTATGGACTTCTCGACCCAGACTAGTCTGCTCCACTCGAAATCCAGATACATTATGTATCAAGTACGCACTTAAATGCATCAACCGATATAATTCCGACAGACCAGACATCAGTTGGATGGTACAGTTATTAGAGAGATTGTCACTGAGCGGGCCCTGTACGGTTTCGGTAACTTTTTATACACGAGCATGTTTGCAATTTGCTAGAAATGAGATAGAGCATTCCCAAATCTTACGGTTTTCAGTAAAATATATCCGGTGGTTTAATCGGTTGTATGGTGGAGTGTCAGTTAACTTACTTACCAACTTCAATTATTATAGAAGTAACGAGGACACAACAAACGACAAATACGCTTTCATTAATATAGCTCGCTAAATAGGAGCAATTTGCACGAATAATGCTGGTGAGAGTAAAGCGCAATCGCAGTTTAACTTGGAATGTTGCTGCTGTTGATACAGATGAAACAGAGATGCATTTGGCACATTTCAGTCCTCTATGAAACTCAGGTTTATTCCTTTTTTGTGGAACTTTTTGATTGCGACTTCGCTTTTTTTCTGTTTACGATTTCGATGATACGCGCTCGCTTATCCATAGCTATCACTGTCCCTGTATTTTCGCCTCGGACTGTCGGTTTATAGATTTTTTGTAAGTGCTCTTTTTAGTGCCTATGTAACCTATTTGCAGTTGCTTACAGAAGGGTACGAATATAACCCGGAACATACAAACTAACCCCGAATGTGCAGCCGTATCCGCCCTAGAGTTCGACCTTCAGCAAAATTTAGTTTTTAGGTTGCGGACTTTGTTTCTGCGTTTTTCGCGTGATGAAGAATGAGCCAAATGAGCAGTCGATTTCTTTCGCAACGGGTGGCTTTGACCACATTATCAGAATGTGGCAACCCAGTACTGGGCGATATATTCAAGGTTTTCAACACAATGAATCGCAGGTAGATATCTTTGTGCAGTCGAATACTTATACGGATGCCGTCGTAGCCTCATTGTTCGCGATTTGTCCCCAGACCTCTGGATTTAAGTTATGGAGTCTAAATACAAGTGTTTAGTGGGTTAACAACGGTTGTGAAGAAGGTAGAATGGCCCCTAAAAATATCGAGTTATGCCATATGGGCTAACGTCGAGGCTAGACAGTTTTGTATATCCCTGAACTAGCGACTTAGATTTGTGACTTTATGCGCAATGGGCTGGTCGAACACAGCTTATACTTATCACGGCCAGAGACTTATGGGCGGACTTCTCGCGCGGAGACTACTGACAGCCAATCTCAAAACTGGCTTCGAAATAACTATAGTTATTAGTATTGGGCGAGTGTGATGTTACCATGTTACCATGATAGCACTCCTGTGGCTGTTAACGGCCACAGTACTGTGTTATCTGGTTAGTGCTGACGCTAGATGTTAACCCCGTTGATAGGTCCCGTGATCGACGTCATTTGCGCCATGGGCCTTACTGACGTATGCATCGACCGAATTTCCTTACCAGGTCTGAGAAGAGGGCATGACAAGCAGAGTATTCCCCGAATTGTAACTCAACGAAGGCGAAACATGTTTCAGGCGCAGATGTCGCCGGGTCAATTAGATTAATGGCAGTTGGTTCAACCAAAATAAGGGCCGCTGGCACCTTCGCCCTCCGTCGATCATGTATTGTTATTAAAGGTGTTGATTTCCGATTACTTTTTTAGCGTCGTCTTCACTCGCGTGTTCAGATAACTGGCTTTAAGTTATATACTTTGCAGTATCAGAGGGAAATTTGCTTCTGCTCACAGGGTTGGCCCTTTCGACCTGGTTGGCATTGTCCTCCCGTTTATACTGGAAGTCGCAGTTGTATCTGGTTGTTCATCGCACTCCGCAGATTGCCTGAAAAGCATCCCTGACATCGGTTGGGCAAACATTATTGACCACATTTTCTGTCTCTGCCTATTGTCATGACTCGTTTGTCAAACCATTTTCTATATAATCTCACGATCTTCTGTGCAAGCACCGACACGAAACGCTCCGTTGTAAATCTGTGTGATGTGCGCCAACAATAGTTTGGCCATGTTCTCTTGTCGGTTGGTTTGACCCTTGAAAAGCATCATCAACAGGACCCCCAGAACTTGTTGCGATAGCACCTCCGTTCGCTAGCGCACGCAATAGTAATCGCCAAACGCGTTATGTACTCGCAGAGAAACGTCCTTGAGACCTCACGTTGATATGCTTGAAAACCAGTTTGCCGTACGCTGATCGTTCAAAATTAGCCCTCCATCGAATCATACATCAAAGCCCTTCCTCTTTTTCGTTGCATGCACGGTCTCTAGAAGCCCACCTAATTTAGACTGTTCATCACTCTATAAATTCGGTTTCTATCTCACAACGTAATTGCAATTATCTGACCGTGGATCACTGGAAAACTGGGAATTCCATTCATCAAATAATCATCTGCATTCCTCAATTGCAGGTTTCTCGGAACTTCGGCAGTTCACAAAAATTTATAGATCTTCTCTTGATAATAAATTCACCCAAGCTGCTGCTCTTCTTATTTGTGAACTATTCCAAATATAGTCGCGTGTCGATACCGTGGACTCATCTGTCCTGACTGCGGGACAGACTGCAAGCGATTTCGCTTTGCCTTAAGGCCTAGTTTCTACCGCGCGCCTGAGCAGTCGAATGGCGGCCAGCTTCCAATAACCCGTGCCTTAGCGATAAAGAAAGGGATATTAGGATCTTCCTTTTAGGCTAATCAACCACCATCAGCCGACGCTGCCCCAACATCAGGCGTTGGCCCGCCCGGGGTTTGAACCCGAATCAGATAATCATCTAGCAAAACCCTTTCACTGCACTACAAGGCCCATGTCCTATCGGTTCTTTGCAAACATGTTTTGGTTGTAAGGCAGTTGCAGTCTTCGCCTATAGTATTTCTTGGGCCACCTTGAGTAAGAATATTTACTTTAGTTTCTAATTTTATTTTTCACAATGGCCTATTAGAGTATACGTTTCAAAATTTGTCGTCGCCACCATCGGCCGGAGACTACGGTAGTGCTCATCTGGCCTTTCCTACAAGGTTTTTATTATTATTTCGTTTCGGCTATCTGCTGGCTCCAGCTGTTTCACTGGTTGACACATTCGACCCGCGACGTCGGTTCTCTTGATATTTTTCGCTGCCCCTCGACATAATTACAAAAAAGCCCTCCAGAAACCCTGGTCTTTGTTGTTAGGTGACCTAATTCCTTCTGGCCGCCAAAAAATCCGCCCGTCAAAAGCGCAAGTGTTCTTTAGGTTCAAATGACTCCAATTCATCGGGGAGTTATTTCCTTCTCTAGATGACGTTCTTGAAACCTATGTTTCCCGTACATAAGTCTGTAAGCTATTCCCAACCCTTCCTCCGCCAGGTGAATTCACTAGCATTTACAAATGATGGTCACTACTTGGCAGCAGCGGGATATGGCAAAATTCGCATCTACGACGTCTACGGCGGCGCCAGTCCTCTTGTCGTCATATCCGAATTTACAAAAAATGTTAACGCTATTGGCCACAACGCATCTGGGACTTGGATGTTTGCCGGTGGTGAGGACAAAGCGGCAAAAATACTCGACTGCAGGGCCGGTGGCTCAGGTTCTCCATATGTGACTGGCACGCGACAGGTTAGAGTATTGTTATGCCGGGTTTTTTTACCAACTGATTTATTTTCCCTGCGTATTTTATCTTTTTTGTGACATTGTGTCGGAAATCAAACTATCCCACTCAACTTGGCGGACGAACGCATGTAGACTCGTCCGTAGCGATCGACGAGCGCCGCCCACCGACTGCGCAAAATCCGCCCAACTCCCATTTCTGCGTCGTCATGGTTTAGTGGCCGGTCAAATCACACAGTTTCCAGATGGATGCGAATGCGTTCTCAGCGAATGGGTCTGGGATCTCATATGAGTGCCATAAAAGCCACATTAGGAGGGAGGTATTGCCAACTAACCCCCATCCCAAGAGAGGGTCATGGTATTCCATCAACCGGTAACTTCCAAAGCCACGACTACCAGCGCAACTGGGTAGTTTTATAATGTCCTTGGTTGTTCATGCTAGGGAAACCAGAAGCCGAATCTGGTCTGGAATAACCCTCCTCCTTCTTGTGCTCGTATCCTGTCTTAGTCTAACCGATTAGAGTTTATATCGGTGCAATATCTGGCGTGGCGGGAAACCTCATCTAACGCAATGACCAGCCTCGTCACATGGTTGTTGTGTAACTGATAATGAGCCTATAACGGGCCGCTCTGTAGATGCCCTAGACCAACATGGGAACCAGATCAAAGTCCGGTATGCGTCACGGGGGATGCACGCTCACAACAAATACCAGCATTGGGGTGCTGCGACAGGCTCACGCCGCGCTAATTGGGATCCGAACCGATCCCCCGTTTTGTATCGGTGTATAAAATTTTGGTCAGTGTCCGTTGTGGACTGGGTGGTGTGGTGGTACGCCTGGGTGTGGGTTTTCTCCGTGCCAGCCACTCGCGGCCTCTCCCGCCTCCAGTCTTCTTGACTCTGTCTTGACACCGGTCCCAGGCGGTAGAGGAGGAGAGAGTGCAGTTGATGCGGCGCAAGCCTACTCTTACCATAAGAGAAATCACGCGCAAATCACCGTCCCTGATCTCACCTTGCTGTTAAGCATACGGTGGACATCGTCGGTCATGATGTTCGAGCTGTGGTATGACCGTCAGTTAATCTTAGCTATTTTTTTCTTGCGTGACAGAATAGGCCAAAGTAATATGTGGATTTTTTTAACGGCAAGTGAGGTATACTTCCAGTCGCAGGTGTTCGGCCAACCATCTATACCCATAGCTGTAATCCAAATGGTCGCTAAACGGGTGGGGCAGGTCCAGCAGAGAATGCGGCGACGTAATTGATGGAAGGGGCCAGCGCTCACGGACCCAGGTTCCGCAGGTATCACAATGTGCGTCGCAACCATTAGATCCCACCTCGGAGTCACAGTCGCCACAAGGGTAGACAAACCAGCATATTCTGCTCGTTTGAAGTAGATCTGTTGCGTAGGAATAGGATTGTAGCGTTGATACTACGACGATTGCGGGGGGTTACCCTCGAAACCAGTCGGAGCCCCCAACGTGGGGCGTGGATTTTGAATTTTCGATTTGAAATCGTAACTCACCTAATTCCGATGTGGTAGTCTCCTCTCCGCGGCCCTCCGTATTCGTTTGGTCCAGCAGTTAGCTACCGTCGTTTTTACAGCAAATAATAATGTCTGTTGGTCGTGTATAAGTCTCCCATGCAACCTAGTTAATTTTAAGACCTGTGAATTGGGCCGCCAACATGTCCTTACATCGTCATTTTTTCTCGCCTGCCTCCGAGCGTCTGACGCAAAGCCGTGTTTTAGCTGGGCTTTCTTCGAAAATCCCCAGTCTGGCCACTCCATCGAAGTCGAATAGGCTTCAGCGCCACATATGTGCCGGCCACATCACCTGTTTCCAGGACCCGGGTGTCTGCGATCCCTCCCCACAACTTCACATTCAGTATGTCTTGAAGACGCCCTGGACGAAATTAGTTCGGTTTTCTTGCTTGACTTTGCTACTTCATATTTGTTTCCACCCTGTAGAGTTGCGCAGCCAGGAAGACAGTTCTGTGCATCTTCAGCTGGGTATTGAGGAGAGCGTTTTGGCAGTTAACAACTGAATGTTGCAACCCATGTTAGGCCTCACTGGCTTTCTATATTCAAGTCAGAATTTTGTCGTCGATCTTGGTGGTTTATTTCGCTTGGTACTTCCCTGACATTTGCCCTTGGCAGTTACCATGAATTCGCCGTATTCCTCACTTGACATTGATTGTTGTGGGCGGGGATCCACTTTGCGCCTAAACAGTCTTTACAGGTTGGTCGGTGCGGTTAGCTAGATGTTGCACGACTTTATATTAACGAGGATACCCCGCTGCACATACGCTGTGGATATTTGCCATGGGTACATGTGTGGTATTCGCTGATCCGCCCGGGCATGTTAGGGCAGGCATGATCACGGTGGTAGCAAGTGCATTTATGCAATACACCGGCGGTCCACGCCATACGCATCGGTGGATCAGGTGGATAGTTCTACTTCTACCCGTCCCGGTGTTCAGCTCTCTTATGTGATTACAAGAGGTCGCACCCTGCACGACGGCCACACCGCAGTAACCACAATCGGCCGGCTAACTAAACTTAGTGAGGAGGGTATCCGACGTGTGTCTTCGCATCCGGTGTCCTTGAGCTAATCCTCAAACTCCCTACACCTATTAAAGTCCCATGAACAGTGCAAGGTGCGATTCATGCGTTCCACACTAATTAGGGTAGTTTTCCCTCTAAACGAAAGTCTTGACCAATAGCGAAATTAGGCGGCCGCCTGGAAGAGGTGAGTGCCGGTTACACTACATCCTAGAGCAGCCGTCTAAAGGCAGATCTACTAGACGCCGGAGTGACTTTCGCTATCAGGAATGACGTAAGACTGCTGTCCTGCCTGTTGCAGCCCATCAATGATCATGTAATGACTGTGAGGCTACTACTACTTGGGAGCAAGCTCGCAATCGACGTCACCGCCTACCCCTCGCCTTATCAGTGATCAGCTTCGATGACGTAGCGAACAAGTTCTATGAAGATCTAACCGTTTTCTGCTCGACGATACCGAAAGCTGACAACGTGATCGTTTTTGAGGAGACTTTACTGGTCTCGTCGATTCGGACTGTATTACCTGAAAGGAGAATTCTAAGTTGTCATGGCATCGGCATCTGCCACAGCAATAACCTCCTTTTGCGGACACGCGCAGATCATGATCTTTTCCTTATTGGCGCATTCTTCCGCCTTCCAAATTTGGAAAAGACAACGTGGGGGCACACAAACCTACTAACGCTTACCGTATCAGAGGCCGAGGAAGAGGCGAAACAACTTGCACTCGCAAAGCTGAGGTGATCCAAAGGCATGTCATCCTTGTAAGATGTAGTATTTCTTCACGGGAATCAAGTTAAGTGGACTACGTCATTGCGCACCCAAGACGACACAATCATACTGTCTGCGAAGTTGTCGGAGACCCTAGAACGCTGGGCTGAGCACTGCCAGGACATTCTGAAAAACAATTAACTGACTCTGCGAAAAGCACGCAAATGCTGACTTCGATCGTCCGCTTCCCTACAGGAGACGTTCAGCGTTGATCAACAACTGTCCGGCGGAAAACACATAGATGCGGCCCAAATCCGCCCAAGATCTACAAAGACAGCGGTCCACAACCTATGAACAATCTTACTTTACTGTTCTAACTGGCGGTGAGAGCAAAGTCCCCAAGACTTCCAAGTTTCAACTATCGTCCATCTGCACAAATGTCAGAGTAACTATCAAATCACTGACAACTCCAGCACCGTTGATAAGACCTTTGTTTGCCTGTTACTCATTAGCCTGAACGCGTTTTTGGAGCAGGGGCTCTTTCCACTTTCGCTTGTCTGATGAAGGCTTTCGACGCAGTGAGTCAGGACAGACTCAGGAGAATCATACTGAAATTCAGATGCCCGAAACGATTTACGCAAATGATGAGACGGCCACACAACTGGTTGGTGATGCTCGTCATGGACAATAGGGCAATGTCCACGATCTCTTGTTTAGGAGGACTGCGCCCTCAACAACTCGAGGAAAGAGGACATACAACGAAGTTTAGACTTCTTCGCCTTCAGATGTTTGAATTTCGGAATGGCGATTAGCACGAATATGACTGTGTTTTCTGCACAAACCGGTGCCAAATCGTGGATATAACTCGCTAAGTATAATTGCCACTGGAACTCACTTCGCAACAATGGGAAACTTCACGTGACATCTCAAGAGATGTCAAGATCGATGACGAAATTGCAAGTCTCTCATGTCGCCTCAGCCAATACGCCAAACCTCCTCGCCACTTGACTGGAATGCTCGGACAGTCGACCGGCGCCTGACGGGGAGGATGAAGCATGAGACCGACACGGCAAGCCAGCGTATTATTGACTATGGTAGATCTGGCATGCTGAGACCTTCAACACCGCGGTTGTGACAGCCTGGCTCTCAGCCCCCCAGTCCGCCACTTCACACAACTGGACAGACTGCGTGGACTGAGTTGGGGCGTCTGTCGGCTACCTTCCGAGCCACGGCGCTCGACGTACCGTGGCAGTCTCAGACTCCGATCACACATGCAGCGGGGGAGCCGCATGGAGACGGAGCCGAGACGCAGACTTCCCACTTGCGTGGGAGATGGCAGTTGGGTGATGTTGATGTGCGGTGAGATGCCGGTGGGGGAGGATGTGATGGTATGGTGCGGCTGGCGGTTGTCTACCGCAGGCCTTCGTGGACGCGCATGTGGTCTAATAGACTCATGTGGTGAATCAATGTGTTAGTGCAATGTGGACATTTGAGACGGATGCGGCGAGTGTATGTGGGTGCTCCAGGCACATGTTCGCCGGTCTCTGTGCAATGGATTCGCAAGTGACCGATTAGGACGATGCGTGAGGTAAATGTACGGTGACAGTGTGAGCATGTGAAGTCGGCGGTGTCAGTATCAGCTTCGGTGATGGTGATTGTGGAGCTGGTGATGATGGCTGCTCTGGGCGATGGTGCGTGGGTTGGGCCGAGCATTGTGGGTGTGCAAGATGTACTGAGTGTGATGGAGCTGGCGACGGTGGGCGTGGTCTGCGAAATGTGGGAGGAGCTAGGCATGGTGGGTGTGCTGAGTGTGTCAGGGCTACGATCAATTCCGCTCTCGTGGATACACATGTGGCCGAATAGGCCCATGCGGTGCATGAACATGCGAGGACAGTGTGGACAGTGGAGGCTGATGCGGCGGGTGTAGGTGGGTGCTTCAGGCGCTGGTTCGCCAGTCTCTGCGCGATGGATTTGCAAATGACCCCACCAGGCCGATGTGTGGGGTGAAGGTACGATCAGAATGAGGACAGGTATAGACCAGGTCCTCATCACTGGTGTCGATGGTGGTGGTGTTTGTGTATAGTGGTGTGCCAATGTTGTGTGCAGTGTTGATGGGCATGGCAGACGCCACGGCGGTAGACGTTGAGGCGGTGAAGGAGTAGGAGAGAGGACGGTAGTGGTGGTTCGAAAGGGTGGTCAACGTTAGTTGACGGCGTTAGAGGCGAGGAAGAGGTGGATGGGGAGACGACGATTGGTTTAGTTCGGGTGCCGCAGTTAGTCCGGAGGTGTGCAACAAGTCCAATTGGCGCCCGAACTGTCCGTTGACATCATAGACTTGTTGGAGGCAGTTGGGCGTTGACGTTGTGGGCCGGCGGTGGCAGTTGAGATTTGCGTGTCTTGTGTTCGGCTTTGGCGAGGGTGATGTAGTTGGCTTGAACTATTGCTGCGCCCGTCTTTGCTGTTCTCCTCGACCGGTGCCGAGCGAGGTCTCCCCAGTTTACCAGGTTGATCTTCAGGTGCTTCAGGGAGGTTTTCAGAGTATCCGTATAGCGCTGGACTTAACCTCCATACCAGCGTGAAGCCGTCGCGACATCTCCATAGAAGAGTCTTTTGGGTAGCCTTCCGTCGTCCATTCGTACGAGTTGGCCGCTTCAGCGTACTTATAGTTGTCTTAGCATAGCGTAGATGCTGAGGATTTCAGTCTGTTCCAGTACGTCCGTGTCTGGGATCCTATCCTACCATCACAGCTTAAGTATTCGACGAAGACAACTGAGGTGGAAGTGGTTGAGTCCACGCGCCTGCTTCATATACACCGTCCAGGTCTCTGCACCATGCAGCAATGTCGGTAGGATGATGGCCTTATACGTCTTCAGTTTCGTGCTGAGTTGTAGCCCGTGACGGTTCCAAACTGTGTTTTGAAGACGACGATAGCTAGGCTGGTTTTGGAAATCCAGCGAGCCATTTCATCGTCGATTTTGGTGGCGCGGGAGAGGGTGCTGGCAAGATACGTGGAGTTGTCCACCACTTGCAGTTGGGCTCCGTTCGCGGTGATTTGGAGTGCGACGTAGGCAGCGTCGGGTGGCGGTTGGTGCATGGCCACCGTCTTCTCCGTGTTGATGATGAGGCCGAAGTTCTCGCAGGCCGCGGCGAAGACATCCATGTTCCTTTGCATGTCTACCTCAGCAGTTTCGTTGAGGGCGCATTCGTCGGCGAACAGAAGTTCGTGGACGGTGGTTGTGATGACCCAGTGCCTGGAGCACCAAACTACACCAGATGCCATCGCCTGAGCTGCCTACACTGCCGGCGCGCATTCACTCACTTCATGGGCCTATTAAGCCACAGGCATCTCCATGAAAACCTGCGGTTGAACACCGCCGGCTACATCATACCATCACACCTCACCAGTACCTACACCACCAATGGCCACGCCCAACATTACACAGCGCAAGCATGTCATTGGCACCTCTCACGAAAGGGGGAAGTGTGTTCCTCGGCTCCTTTTCCGTGTAGTCCCTCCCTGCTGCATGTTTGATCCGAGCCTAAGACTATCACGGTACGCTAAGCTCTGTGGCTTGGAAGCTCGCTAACAGACGAGATAACTCGGGCCTCGCAGTCAGCCCAATGTGTGTTTGTGTGGAGTGATCAACTGGTGGACTGAGAGTCAGACCGCAATGGCTCCATCCTAATATGGCCAATATGGCACTCCCTCTCAGTGGGACCTGGTCCGCCCCTAGTCAGTGCGCGTTGTAGACCAAGGGGTGTAGTGGCACGCCTAGGTGCGGGTTTACTCCATGCCAGCCATCTGCGGCCTCTCCCGCCTCTGGTTTTCTTGACGCTGTCTTGACGTCGGGCCTAGGTGCGGGAAGGGGAGGGAGTGTGATAGATGCAGCGAAAGTTCACTGCCACTATAACCTAATTCACGCGCAATTCACCATCCCTTTTCTCATCCTGCTGACGATTACACGGCGGTCATCGTCGAAACTGACGGTCTAACTGTCGATATGGCCTGTTTACCTCTACCGGCCACTGAATCCGCGCCCATATCTGGTCCTTTTGCCATCAGAGCCAGGTGTCGTAGGAGGAAAAAGTGGGGTGGCTGCATCGCGAAAGTGTACTTCTCTGTAAACAATTTCAGCGCAAGTCATCCCTGCACCGGCCCAGTGGACGTCGTCGTTTGGGGCAATCGAACTATCGTAATTGACAAGTAAACAGCTTTTTTGTAACTGGTTGGCTTTACTTCCTGCACGCACGTCCGCGTCCAGCTTTGTTATTTTCGCAATGTCGCACGCTCCTCATTCATCCGTACCACATGGTCTAGTTGACTGAGATGGCACACTCGACGGGTAATGTAAAATACGCACCACTGATGTATTTCTGCATTGCTCACCAGATCGCACTAGTTTACTGCTTCATTGTCAAGTAGACAGTTTTCTCGCATTTTGGTTATCCAACGGAGCTTTCGGTCTCCATCAGCGTGCACCCAAGCCCTTTGTTGTAAGCTCTTCCCCCTAACCGTTATGTGGATACCTTGTCCTCGGCTGATGCAGCACTCCTTCGTCTTGGCAGTAGTCAGTCAAAATGAACAAGCATGCGTATGCTTGCCAAATGGTCAACCGAACTGCTCCATGGGAATTTTCGCAACTCTTACAGTAGTCGACCCCGTTGCTGACCGGGCTTTTTCCTTGGTGGAGCGCCTGGTGGAAATTTTAGGAGCCGCCAACGAGCTGCACCTGTAAATTACCAGGACTGATTACTTTAAGATCCTGTAGTCAATGCGATAAAACGGTGGTAGAAATTGCTGATTTTCTTATACAGACTGGCGCTTGAGTAAGCGGCCAGTATGTAACGACCAAAAATCCATATATCGGACAGCGGTAGTTTGATTGTCGTGCTACTCCGACGTCTGTTCTTATGTAGGCAGCTTGTAAATTGCACGTCCAACCTAGATTTTTTCCACTTTTTTCAATAAGGATTCTCAAAGCTGCTTTACTGACCCCTCAGTTGGATTGACTAAGTTAGCGTCTAAATGCGAAAAAGCCTGTAGCTCACGAGGCGTTCTGCGGCGAAAGCAAAGCTGTGGCGAGTGTTCTTCACATAGCAAGCGGCCTACAGGCCATGTCCACTGCCTAACGCATCAGCCCATCCCTACTGTATTCACGTTGCCAATGGACGACCTTCTAGCATCTTGTGTTTTGGAGGAAAAATGAACACACTCGTTGCTGCAGACAACGGCAGTCTGTCGCTTCTTGCTCTCCACTCGTCTAATCTCTCCTCTTTCTGGGTGCCGATTGCATGCCCGCAAAGCATGGGACAGCGTATATTGCTGCCTGCAGGATAGCGCAATTTCTTTGCCCAAGGACCCGACCGCCACACGCATTATTCACTAAAGTCTAAGCCCTCCTTTCGTCCGTCTACGTACACCCCGTCTTTCCCTACAAAATTTCTCTTTCCCCAACGTCCCTCTTGATTTTCCTTGTAAAAACCAAAAGTAATAGGAGATTCGTACAATTCCCTGCCTCCGTATGACGCTTATTCCCCTGAACGGCATCTTCAACCTCTTGCAAGCCGTTTTAGACCATCCAGCGTGCACTGCGTTTATATCTAATTTTTCTGCCTCTCCGTCAGTGCGGCTCAAGCATCAACTCAATGGCCCTCCATCCGAATCAGCTGGAGATCCTCTTTAGCACCGATAAAGGTGAGGTCTATGTGTGGGACCTACGAAACGGTCGGACCGCAGTCCTCTGTCCTGACGCACGTGAGGGACCCATTCACTCAATCGGAATCAACGCTGAGGGCACTTCGTTGGCCGCGGCTAATACTGCCGGCAGCATCATCGTTTGGTCCCTAGGCGGTAATTCGGCCTTCAAACACACTGAGAAGGTTAGTTGGGCTTTCATACTCCCTGCTCGAATAACCGGCTTGCAACTGCCTAATGACGTGACATCATAACTCTGCAGAATCACACCCCGTTTGAGTAGATCCGTTTCTTTGTATCTTGCCAATATTTTAAACCTAGGTGCTAAGGAATATGCACGAGAATGAGTTTAGTTTTGTTCCAGTTCCCGGTCTGTGTCACGTCTTGAGAATCTTCAGTTGTCGGTCTAGACAGGTTAATTCAACACCAAGGGGCCTGCATCACGTGCACTGTCATCTTAACCACCGCCACCGTTACCATCACCAACATCAAAGCAACCTACAGCACCCGTAGCTTTCCCGATGTACAGTAGGTGAGCCAACTCATGAAATGTCAACCAAAATTCCGAACTGCGTTTTAATTTCGAAAAGATTAATTAAGTAGGGTTGTAAAACTAACGATCATACAGCATAATTCTATAATGGTTCAGTTATCTCGGAATGCCGGTTTTCGAACTAATTTCTTTCCAGTTGCATGCAAAAACCATACTCTGCAAAAAATGACTACTTATATAGCATGCGTTTTTTTCGTTGGTTTCCGATGCTCTTAAAAATTAAATTATCTTTTACGGAAAACATCCATCAAAATATTCAATCTCTTGCCCATTCGGTAGAACATTACCTCTTCTTCCAATATCATACTCGAAAGAAAGGTATAATTCGGTTTTCAAAAACTTCCAATTCCCGAATAATTTTGAACCCGACCTGCTGTTACACTCGCATTCAGGTTTTCCAAACTACAAGCCATATATTTTCCGCGTACAGAAAACTATACATTTCTCTACGGTATTAAGAGGAGACCATATGTGGTTTGTGAACTTTAGCAGTGGATTTCAGCTACGTTGTTAAGTTTGCGAACCACATTGGTAAATGCAGTGACATGACGTTTTATGAACGGCGATTTCACGGTATTAAAAGGTCTCACAATCAGATACTTTTTTAAAACCGAAGTACACTCTTCTTTCGAGCGTAAATTTGGAAGAAGACGTCATTTTCTGCCTAATGAGCAAGAGACTGAATATTTATATGCATGTTTTCCATGAAATGTAATTGAGTTCTTACGGGCATCCAAAATCAATGAGAGAAATGCATGCTACTTAAGTAGTCATTTTTACAGAGTATAGTTTTTGCATGCAGCCGGAAAGGAGTTCATTCAAAAGCCGGCATCCTGAGGCAGCTGACCTATTGTAGCATTATGCTGCATGATAATTAATTTTACACCTCTATTTAATTAATCTTTTCGAAACGAAAATGCGTTTCTAAATTTCGGTTGACATTTCATGAGTTAGCCCACCCACTGTGGTGGTAGAATTCATTTTAAGTTAGGTGCACACAGTGATGAATCATTTTAGCCTTTCAAAACCTAGTCAATATGAACTCTTCCTACTGAGCCTTTGAAAGCTTAATGAGTAAACTTGCCAGCAGTGATAGTGACAACGAAGAAACGATGATGAATGTGGTGGCGGCGACGACGACGACGGTAATGTCGACGAAGAAACTGTAGTAGTTATGTTTTTCTTTCTCAGCGTTCACCACACTTTGGGTGCTTTTATGACAATTTCAACTGTCATGCTGTTAATTGATCATCACGCCTCTACTTTTGCTGCTCACAACTTCAACAGCATCGTGGCAAAGTTCACACCTCCTACGCCCTGAAGGTGGAGTTCTCGCCAGATAGCACCCTGTTGGCGACCTGCGGTGCCGACGGAAAGGTGAACCTCCTGAAAACGGCGGATTTTAGCGTGACGAGTAGTCTGCAAGCCAGCAGCAGCACCGGTCGCCACTGGGCATGGGACTGCGCCTTCTCCGCGGACTCCCGCTTCCTTCTCACCGCCTCTTCTGACGGCGTTGCCCGACTCTGGGACCTGGAGACCAACGAGGTGCGGTTGGAGTACAAGGGTCATCAGCGTGCTATCACCTGTCTGGCCTTTAGGGACCAGTCGCTGGCCGATTGAGGCGCACTTCCTCCTCCGCCTCTTCATCTCTTGTACATATTTTTTCCCCATCTTCCCTATGCGGACCCTGGGTATGATGGCATCCTTTGAAAAAAAACCGCAACTTCCACAATGGTACCCTCGGATAGTTTCGAGTTTGCTGGAGCCGCACTCCCTCTGCCAGATTCTTTCAACTTCGCCATCTTCCATGTTTTATATCTGTCACATTATGACTTCCAATACGTTGTCTTTGAGAGAGGGGAATGTGCTTTTTTTAAAGATTCCATTCCAGCAATTTCAGAAAAAGCTTTCTTTATTTCCGTGGCAAGAATACTCATTAGTAGATGACGAGAAAGTAAATGGGTTTGCATAAAAACCGTACAGCTACTGTGGGGACAGTTCGATTCTAAGTTTCTGTAGTTTGATCTCTCTTACTCGTTAGGTATCGTACCAGAAAGGGTTATGCTGAACGTTGGTACGCCGATCTACGGCAAAATATGTGCCGGAAATATCAGCGCATGGGGTGGTAAGACCTCGTAGCATTTAATTCAGGGTTAAGGGGCATGAGCTACATCATCAACAGTTTGATAGACAAACTTCATGGCCTTTGTATTAAGATATCAGCTAAAAGGACATAAGAAACGCCGGTAGCAAAGGAGAGCATTCGGAGGACACGTTTGGAAATGGGCATATCTCTTTTAATTAAGGCAGGAAAAGTGAGCGAAGAACAAAGAGTAGGAGGGAGTATGCGGGCATCCACATATCTCCAAACTATGGGTCGGGGTGTGTGATAGGAGCGTAAACGATGAATGTAGTGAATAAAGTTTGCGACTTTTGGCGAAGTGGGTTTCAATATAAAGGGAGAATGAGAGACTCGAGGACAGAGTAACATCAAAGTATCGGGAAGATGATACTTCATTGAAAAGAATGTCATTGGATTCAGGAATGAGAGAGGGTCGCGGTGGAAAAGCACTGGACTGAATTCTGATCAACGACCATGCAGGGACACGATCCGATCCATTCTTTAGGAACTGGAGAATAGTCTGATTTCTAATGGGGCGGCTGGCAACTGCCTATCGGCAGTTACTGGATGTTACGCGGTTACCAGCTGTGGCTGATGAAATTCGACCCAAATATTCATATACTCGGTCAGAACCTATAGAATAGACTGATCTACTCCAAGTCCGCAGTTAATTCCTAAGGAAATTAAAAGCCACAATTTCTAAATTGGAACGTCTACCAGAAAGCATATGGGGAATGCTGGGGGGCACTAATGAGCCGAACCCCTCGTGGCTATGTCGTGCAACGGCAGAATTTTCGGTGGAATACGCGTGTATGGGCTTTTGGCTAGCACCCGTGCTGTTAGCATGGTATCCCCTTACCCTAAAAGGCACAGTCAACGTATAGGCAGCTATTGGGAGACCTCAGGTCATCAGTGTGAAATGAGAAGTGAGGGAGTGAGACGGAACCTTGAAGGAACCCACAGTAACTAGGAGGAGCAGTAGATTTCCGCTTGCTAGATTGGACAAACTGAGTGCGGAAGGCGGAGCCTTGGGTATGGATCCTATGCGTATTGGTCTTTAGGTACACAGAATACTTGACTTCCTCTGTACCGACTTCGCGCCACGTTCTTCCCAGAATCCCTGACGTCGACTTTTTGGTGAAGCTGTTAGTGAACTACTCAAAAACCAAGATGTTTATTTATGCTCCTCATACATCCCGTCTTCACGATGTTCGGATGATTGGCTGCGGGCCGCACCTCCATCCGTCGACGCGGGGTCTAGCTCTTCCTCCACTGGTTGTCAGCAAACAGCCTCGGTCGCTAGCGGTCTGCCCTCCAGTTAGGAAAGAAGGATCACCGTTTTCGCCTCCGACTTGTTTACTGTCATCAGTGAGTCACATTCCAACCCCTGACTGAAAGACGTTGAATTCGAAACCGACTCAGTCTGTCAGGAACGAGCTCTCGCCTACCGGTCTGTCATCGAGCCGCGTATACATGTCCCCTTCGCTCCCGTCGGCAATCTCCAAGGTTGCACGGAGGCGAATTGTTGCATGGCTAAAAGACGATACCAAAGTAGACCACGAAGAGACACTGTGGTTACTCATTCGTCTACCGAAATGCCAGACAGTGTCCACAGTACGTTGTCATCCGAGAACCAGGCACATCGTGGATGCAACTGGACATATATGCTGGGGTAATTTCGTCTTAGGTTCTACCACCTAGGAGTGGTGAAATGTGCTAATTTATCCTAGCCAGACAGCGCGACCACAGCTGGCACTGGTGGTCTCGGGGTCCATTTAATAGCGCAGAGGAAGGAAAGACGTTGCGTGCCCCACCACCATCATGATCTTTAGAGCACTTCATGCAATCTTTGTTAGGTTAGACTCTCCAATGCGGCCCTCTTGAAAGACGACTTGCTTCTGCAATTGTTTTAAAAAATAGCCTTGAATCCATCTATTCAGAAGACGCCAGGTTTTCTTATACTGATTGAAACCCCTATGATTGAGATTATTCTGTGTCATACATTTCACAAAACCAACCCTTTTAGTCGACCCGCCTAATTAGATAACTCACCGTTCGGGTTACCGAACGTGCTCATCGACCTGTCCGGTACCACCTTATCTGCCTTTGTGACTGTGTTGCACTTAGCGTAATGGAAGAGCTTCTTCAGCCGGCTAATCAGGCATTTAACTCGCAATGACGCAGTTGGTTTGTAAGGCCGAGTGTCGTTGAGGTTACATTCTGACGTGCCCGGCCCAATTCGCCACTGGCGATGCCCTAAGTTTGTCATTGGGGAGCATTCCGGTGTCAGCGTCTGTTTTCAGTTCTTCACTGTCTCTAATTCTGCGGATGAGACACTGTTTAAGAGTCTGTTTATAGATAGCATGCAGAGGTGGGTATCGGTAGTCTGTCATCAGTTCGTAGGAAACTACTGCCTTCAAGGTCGCGTATACCTACTCCTCCTTGATCGTCCATAAAAGTTCTCTCCTGTCAAGGCGCATGCTCATGCGCTGACGGGATAGATGACCGAATTGTTCCAAGTTCGCGCCAAAACCCTGGAGAACTATCACGAGCCCGACTTCGTGGGCAGAAGAGAACAATTAAAATCGGATATCTAGCAGCCTGTAAACTGGAATTTCGCCGACTACCCGCCCCCCCCCCAATCTAGTTAGTACGTATTGTAATACCACCGACACAACATGCGCTACTGACTGCTAGGGAGCTACTAGAAACACAGTCCACTTGTTATCAAAAGCAACTCGTCGCAGGAGTCCAAAAGTCCAGACAAACCGATCAAGAGTTTCGAGAATCAATCCGTCCCACTCTTCACCCTCCATCAGTACGCAATATGTTTGCTTGCCTAGGTGACTGGTATACTTCAGATAAACCCTTCAGGCCCCAAGAATGGGTCCTTTCCTCATCCTCAACGCAATAGAGAATTTGGGTATTCTTGGATGTGTTGGCAGATTTTGAATAATTCATATTGACCCAACTATGAAAAACTCGGCGCCTCGGTGGGATTCGCACCCACGCAGTAAGGGGAAGGCTTTAGCACAGCCAACGCTCAAACCACTTCAGTTACGAGGCCCCGCCGGACGACGCGAATTTAATCACATTTGGGTCAAGTTACCCGCCCAACCTACTGCAACGTCTGGAATCCACCAAATCTAATACAGTAGATTCACTGCCCAAGCAGTCATCTGGTGGATTCTAGGTGAATTGCTTCGGAAATCCTGCTTGGGCAGTCAACTTACTGTATCAGATTTGGTGGATTCCAGACGTTGCAGTAGGTTGGGCGGATAACTTGACAAAAAAGTGATTAAACTCGCGTCGTCCGGCGGGGCCTCGTAGCTCAAGTGGTTAGACAGTTGACAGTACTAAAGCCTTCCCCTTACTGCGTGGGTTTGAATCTCACCGAGGCGCCGAGTTTTTCACAGTTGGGTCAATATGAATTTGGGTATTGTCGCGCAACAAAGCAAGTGCGGCCTGGGTGTTTCAGGTGTACTGTAGTGTTGTGACACCCGACGTCTCTAACAACACTGGTCCGTACGATGTTGTATTCGCGTTGGGAAGCGGTCTGGTGAACCATCAGACCTAAGCATCGTCGCAGTGCCATGTTCGACATCATCGTTACTATGCCATACACCCAAAAGCCCTAGGCTGATAATGTACATACGTCGTAGGGAAGGTCCTCCCAAAGTGCAAATCCAACACTTTCCTGTGGGCCCGGATGTTAGACTGAAGTACTCCATCCTCTCTCGAATCCGGTCCCTGACCACACAATTGCAAAGCGTCATGCAGCAGCCAAGGAGAGACCACGAATCCTTGCTCATCATAAATACAAGCTGCCCACTCCACAAGCTCACCTGGTACTTAACTAACAACCGCGCCAAATCAAATCGGTTCTTTTTCCTCCAAGCATTATGCCAAGCCACCTTTCTGTGTTTTATCGATACTTTGACCGTCGCAAGTGCTGGGCCCACCAGTGACCCGTTGAGGAGGACGAAGCGGTGACTCGCGCACGAATTCGTCCATACTGAGGCCGAATTGTGTTGCATCTACCTCATTTTCTCCTCTCACACCCACTGCGTTCCGTGGGTGCAGCGTCTACAGGTGTCACACACGGCCTTATCCCCGGATTTATACGTACGACACTTGACCAAGGGATCTAGGATTCTACACAGGTGAGGAAGTCATTAGACGACAAAGTTTTTGGCTTAGTGGGGTTTATGAAAATCGGAGCTTCAGCTGAGTCTAGTACTCGTATTCCTCATTCCATTCCGTCGAATTCTACTGAATAAGTGCGAGCCTGTCACAGAGCGCAGACATTCTCCTTTATGCTAGAACATACGCATCACTGAAGCGTATCCTGCTTGATCACACTACTCCAGACCAGGCTCTCGGTCGGCCTCTACCGAAGCGGAATTTCACAAGAGGCCAGCCTGCCCACACTTGGCTGCCAAAGTGTTTGAGACGGGTCACATGCGTACCGTGGCCTCGGGGTTCACGGCACACATGG